TAAAGTTTATCTATATCTGTCTGCCTACATCTCATTCCAATATCTCTTCTCTCCCTGTCTCTTTTTAAGGAACTAGAGTCCCCTAGAACACAAAATGGCTGGAAAGCAGACTTTCTAATTTGCTCCTTCTCTTGATTGTATCCAGGGAAGATTGTTCAGTAATGTAGATTACCAGAGCTCTCTGACCCTCTGCTCTTATGCCCCATAGAAAATTCAAAGAGGGACAGATCTAGGACTGTGGGATCGAAGGACTGAGGTGGTCACGAGTCCCATGGAACAGGGATGGTTAATTGCCTAATTGTGTACATTGTTCTTTTGGCTAATCCTATCCTCAATACCGAGCCCCAGATATTTCTTGAGTATTAACCTAGAGGGCAAGGAGAAAACTGTTATGGGAATGAAATTCTATTAGTAACTAAAAGAAATTCTTTTAAATGATCTAAAACTAAAATAAACTAGGTAAATGGGATGGACGCAGGGGCTCATGCCTGTAATCCCAGCACTTTGAGAGGCTAAGGTGGGCAAATATCTTGAGTCCAGGAGTTCAAGACTAGCCTGGGCAACATGGCGAAACCCTGTCTCTAAAAAAATTAAAAAAAAAAAAAAATAGCCAGGCATGGTGACATGTGCCTGTAGTCCCAGCTACATGGGAGGCTGAGGTGGGAGGATTGCTTGAGCCCGGGATGGAGAGGTTGCAGAGAGCCCAGATTATGCCACTGTACTCCAGTCTGGGTGGCAGAGTGAGACCCTGTCTTAAAAATCAAACAAAAAACAAGGTGAATGCATAGCTCTAATATATTTATTTATACCACCTTTATTTCTAGAATAATGTAAGGATTTTGATTCTAAAGTTTTGAGAAAATATAAACTGAGATAGGCAAATTATTTAAAGTTTTATAAAAGCAGCTATAGTAATATGTAAGGGAGCAGTTGTATATATTTTTAGTACTTAAGCCTCCTCTTCTATGTTTAGAAAATAATGTAAGTTTTTCAGACATTTGCATAAGCATTATCTTTTCCCCATCTCCATGCTCAGTTTAGCCATCTTTATTCTTATCCAGTGCCATTCACGAACAGGTGGGAGATGGTGAAAATAAATGAAATGCACTATTTTAAACTGTGTCCGTTGTATTTAAAACTATATAAAAACACTGAGGCAATTATAAAGGAATTCAGAACAAAGTCAACTTTTTGGACAGGTTTCTTTTTTTTTTTTTTTTTTTTTTTTTGTAGTCTATTTACAATGCCCCCTTGTTTCATTTTGGTTTAGCTCAAGGAAATAAACTCAGGAGCAATGGAATTGATACATGTCACTTTCACTTTTCCTGCTCCTCATGAAGCAAAACCCACTAATTACTTCGAAGGAATCTGCTAACACTTCCACATATATTTAATTTTGCTAAACTCATATAGAGCTGCCTTAGAGGAAGGAAGAAGACAGAAAAAATGGAGCATTCCTGGAAAGCTGCATTAAGACAGTTGTGTTTCTGCCAGTATTCTTCAGGGGCTGAATATATCTGGAAAGAAAAAAAAAAATCACAAAGATATATTAGACTTTACTTAATGTATATGCCAATTACTTAACCTTTCCAGATATTTTGATATTAGAGAATGTGTGATTATTTATCCATTCATGTCTTCATTAATGCTGTCTACTAAATATTTCTGACTCTTCTCTTCTGTGCACAAGGTAGTTTGCCATTTCCCATTCTCTATATGTTAAGCATAACCATGTAACTTGCTCTGGTCAATAAATCATGAAAAGAAGATATGTATGTCACATCTGGGAGGAAGCTTTAAGAGTTCCTGTACAATTAGTCAGAACCTCTTTTCCTCTGCAGCCTTGATCTCCTGGGCTCTAGCGATCCCAACTAGCTGGGACTATAGGTAAGGGCCACTTTACCTGGATAATTTTATTTTTTATTTTTTTGTAGAGGAGATTGAGGTCTCACTATGTTGCCCAGGCTGGTCTTGAACTCCGGGACTCAAGCAGCCCTCCTGCCTTGGTCTCCCAAAATGTTGGGATTCCAGGTGTCAGCCACCACGCCTAGTCTTAAAGTTTCATACAATCATGTATGAATTGTAATATGAATTTGCTATATTTACATTGTGCCCATATTTATTTTGTACTTCATTCATTTATATATCATATCAGTTGGTAACATATTGGTCCAACTTTTTAAGGAGAAAATGCAACATATAACTAATCTCTGTGTATTCTTGTGCAAATTCTAGAAATACACATTTAATGGAATTCAGTGCATCTTTTTCTGAAAAGATAATTGAGATGTTGATGAGGATGACGATGATGATGATAGACATTTCAGGAAGTGATTGTGCTCTAGGAACTTGCATGTTCAGAGCGACTGCAAAGCATTTTGATTTGTGCAGGCAATTTACTGACTATATGTTCTGGTATCTGAAAACCAGAAATAAATATGAAAGGGTGGGATAATATGAGGATTAGCAAAGAACATTGTCTTATTAGGGGAAAAATAGTAAATAGCCACATTTTAGATGTTTATTCTTTGATGGGTGTCTTCCTTAGTGAGAATTATTTCCAGGAAGTATATTTTAGTCTTTGGAATAAAACCTTTGCCAACTCATATTGCATTGTCTTCTATTCTTACAGTATAATTTTATTTTCATTTTTCTGGCATCAGAAAACAGGTCTTAAAGTCAAATTTTTGAATATAATGATAGCTCTGGGGGTATTTGAATCAGTTTTGATGCATATTTCCTGATGATCAAGTGATAAGTTTTGCAGCATTTTAAGTGTTCTCATAATATTCCCTAAATTAGTGCTCACATAATTTCATGCAGTATATCTTTTTAATATTGTAGTGTTGGAATGCTTTTACATGGAAATTTAATTTTTGATATTCAAAATAATAGAATATTTTATAATTCTTGGTATATTTATGCTGGAAGCATCTCCATCACTGATGCATTTTCCTATACAGATCTACATAGCACACAGATCTAGGTGGCGCTCATAAAATGAATGATGAAAATAAGCCAAGAGTGAAAATTACTTACTGTAATTATGGTTAGCATGGTTGATTGACTTATTTATTCATTTAGCAAATATTCAATAAATATTATTTAATAAATAGCTATATTATAGACATTATGCTAAGTTCTGTGAATACAGAGATGAAGAAAACATAGTCCCATTTCTTAAAAGCTCACATCGTAGCCAGGGATACGTATTGACTTTATATAGATACATATGATTATAGCTTGTGCTGAATGTTAAAGCAGAGATATGTGGAAGTGCTGTCGAAATAGAATAAAGAAAGGATTAGTTCTTTGAGAAATAATTTGATAAAAACTAAAGGAAGGAACATGGAGCACATCACAGAAAAAGTGACACTGGAATTGTGCATTTAGTACAATTTTTCATCACTTCAGCCTAATTAATATTAAAACTATTGAGGATTTTATTGGGTTGGTGCAAAAGTAATTGCAGTTTTTGCCATTAAACCACCATCTCTATTGTGGATAATTAGAGAGCTTTTATCTAAAGTAATAGAACTTTTATTCCATGTTCTATGCTGTGGAAATGGGGTAAATATTTAAAATATTTATCAACAGCAATGGCCATTCAGAATGGATGCTGACAACAGAATTAGAAGAGAGTAGACCCATACAGTAGCTGTTGACTCTCAATTATGTGGTTATGGATGGGGCTCTGCACCTCAATTTTTCATCTTTCAAATATCACTAATGCTTGTTTCTTTTTTAAAAATTATACTTTAAGTTCTGGGGTGCATGTGCAGAACACGCAGGTTTGTTACATAGGTATACGTGTGCCATGGTGGTTTGCTGCACCCATCAACCGTCATCTACATTAGGTATTTCTCCTAATGCTATCCCTCCCCTAGTCCCCCACCCCCTGACAGGCCCTGGCATGTGATGTTCCTCTCCCTGTGTCCGTGTGTTCTCATTGTTCAACTCCTGCTTATGAGTGAGAACATGCAGTGTTTGGTTTTCTGTTCCTGTGTTAGTTGGCTGAAAACAATGGTTTCCAGCTTCATCCATGTCCCTGCAAAGGACATGAACTCATCTTTTTAATAGCTAAATAGTATTCCATGGTGTATATGTGCCACTTTTTTTTTTTTTTTTTTTTTTTTTTTGAGACCAAGTCTTACTCTGTCACCAGGCTAGAGTGCAGTGGTGTGATCTTGGCTCACTGCAACCTCCGCCTCGCGGGTTCAAGCAATTCTCCTGCCTCAGCCTCCCTAGTAGCTGGGCAGGCATACACCATTACGCCCAGTTAATTTTTGTATATTTAGTAGAGATGGGGTTTTACCATGTTGGCCAGGATGGTCTCAATCTTCTGACCTTGTGACCCGCTGCCTCAGCCTCCCAAAGTACTCACAGGTGTGAGCCACCACACCTGGCCTAATACTTGTTTCTTTGATGTAGGATATTTGTGAAGATAAAATGGGACCATGTACATAAAGTGGTTGACACAATTAATGGTATGCAGTATGAATATTTAAGCAACATTAGGCATTACAATTTTTAAGAGTAAGAAAGAACAGACCTGATGAAAAATTACAGATATATCTAAAAGTGTGGAACAATTTTCCTCAGGTGGAAAAATTGGGAAAAAAAATACTTTCCAAAGGAATACTTCAAAGTTGGAAGGAGATGAAGAGATGGCTCTGGAAAAGGCGATTATTTGGAAATTATCTAGGCAAAATACTGACAGTTCTATTTTCGTGGGGGATAATTATTTTATATTATAGTTGTTCCTATTTTCAATGATCATCTCTAGCGATAGTGTTAATGAACAACCCTGGAGTGAGATGTCAGTATTTGACTGTGGCTGTTTGCAAACTCTGCTGTGATTATACACAGTTGTCTAATTGCTTAATTTATTGATGTTTTGCTGACATGTTTTTCAGCAACATTTGTGATTGCAGATAACTAATCATTTCTCTTCGGGCTCATTATCATACGTTTGCATTTGATTTATCTGATTGCTGCAGGTGGAAACAATAGGTGATGCCTACTGTGTTGCAGCAGGGCTCCACAGAAAAAGCCTCTGCCATGCTAAACCCATTGCTCTGATGGCCTTGAAGATGATGGAACTTTCAGAAGAGGTGCTGACACCTGATGGAAGACCGATTCAGGTAACCCTCCCAACAATCTGGTTTGAGTAGTAAGTGCACCATTAACTGGAGGAGGCAAGTAATTCCCTTCTGAGTTCTACTTTTTGTAATTTATAGATCTAGACAAGTTGGGTGCTTAAGGAGGACAAGGAGTGACTAGAGATAATTCATAAATCCAGGAAAAGAACAAATGGAATAGGTGCAAGATAGGAAAAGGTTTGTGGAAGGCAAATTACTGTAGAGGAAAGAAAGAGCTAAAAGATTAGACCCAAGGGAAGAACTTACTGTGAGTGACCGGGTCATCACATCCAAGCAAGAATGATGGTGAGATTCAGAGTTTTAGAGGTAATCCAAGAAGTAAGACACAAAAAAAGCAAGAAAATGGAGGACCTGCACAACTTCCTGTAGGTAATATACAGCTGAAACTTCAGAGCTCAGAGTTACTTCTGGAGTTTTTCTTGTGGCAGAGTTTGAAGATTGCAGCCTAGTAACTGTAAAAACTGTAAAAAAAATATTGGGTTAAATATATTTTAAAAGTTTTTAAAAAACTATTAGGCACTTCTGAGCTCATAGGAAAGGGAAAAACATGACAATTACACTATGTGTGTATATTGAAAAAAAAAAAAAAAAAAACGTAGTTGGTGAATTTAACTGAAGAGCCCTATTGTTAGCAATGGTAGAAGGAATCTAGGAAATATTATTCCTCCCAGAAGATGCCAGCTTCAATCCTATCCTCAAATAATTTTCACAGATTCTGTGTGTTATAAAAAATAAGGTTCCAGTTTGTGGTTGTATTTTTATCTTTTAGTTATTCTCGATAAGCTGGAAGGTTTAATATTAATGTTTTAAATGAAACATTTTATTTTATAATTTGTAAATTTTTGACCTGACTAGTTCACAAAAATCCTTCCCGACTTAATTTCCTAATGATAAATTTGCAGTTTTATAGTATGAGTTTTTACATTTAACCCACCTGGAAGATGAAGGTTATTAAAATGTGTGATAACCTAATACCAGAAACAAAAGAAAAAAGCCACACACACATACACACACACGAAAACAAAGCACTATGGGGAAGAACCAGGGGACATTATAGATGTAAAAACACAGATCTGGGATGTTTTCAGATATCACACTTATCAGACACAGAATTAAAATGACAATTTTTAACGTAACTATAAGAAATAAAAAGATAAGCTGAAAACTGTGAGAAAGGGACAAGACTTGGGAAGGAACCAGAGAACTTCTAAGCAATCAACATAATGCTTAAGAAAAGAAGAGAGAACAAAGTGGGTAAGTTTAAAAGCAGATTAGACATAGATGAAGCAAGAATTTATTCACTAAAAGAACTGAAGATATTATCAATAACTAAGTTGAGATATTTAAAAATGGGAAATATGAATAAGAGAATGTAAAATATAAAATATGTGGGAGACAGGGAGGAGAGAGTGGAAAGATGTAATATGTATTCAATTGAGGTTCCAAATGGAGGTAATAGAGTAAATACAAAAAGAGAATTATTTTCAGGAACTATTAAAAGATGTCCATCAGTACCCAGACACAGTAATTCCAAAGAATTCTGCAGAAGTTAAGTCATGGGAATCCAAAACTAAACCCATCTTAATGAGACTGCAGGGCATCAAAGAGTAATTGATAAATTATAAAAGTGACAGGCTGGGTGCGGTGGCTCACGCCTGTAATCCCAGCACTTAGGAGGCTGATGGGGGTGGATCACAAGGTCAGGGGTTCAAGACCAGCCTGGCCAATATGGTGAAACCCTGTCTGTACTAAAAATACACAAAATTAGCCGGGTGTGGTGGTGGGTGTCTGTAATCCCAGCTACTCTGGAAGCTGAGGCAAAGAATTGCTTGAACCCAGGAGGCAGAGGTTGCGGTGAACTGAGATGCGCCACTGTACTCCAGCCTGGGTAACAGAGCGAGACTCCATCTCAAAAAAAAAAAAAAATTATAAAAGTGACAGTGATCAGTGTGAAAAGGACAAGGTATTCAATAAATGCTTGGGGGATTATTGGCTATTCATGAAGAAAACTAATTGAAATTGCTTTTGTACTTTATGCATCTTTATACAAATCAATTCTTGGTGTGGGGAGGTAAATGTAAAAATTCATATTATAAAACTATAAATTTATCATTAGGAAATTTTGACAAGTAGGGAAGGATTTTTTTGTGAACTCATCAGGTCAAAAATTTGCAAATCATAAAATAAAAGTTTGGAACATTAAAATTAAAACCTTCCTGTTGTTAAGAAGAACTAAAAAATAAAAATACAACCACAAACTAGGAGAGTATTTTTGCGGCACATGTAATCAATAAGTATCTAGTTAACTTTGTCAGTAATCAAATTAATATAAATTTATAACAGTATCATATAGTATTTCTCCCTACTAGTTTGACACAACTTTGAAAGTCTGACAGTGCCACTGTTTGTGAGGATCTGGAGCAGCAGGAAATCTCACCCGTAGCTAATGCAAGTGTAAATGGTGCAATTTACTTTGCATTACCTGGTCAAGTTTAACTTCTGCATATCCTACAACCCAGCATTTCCTCTCCTAGATGTTTACACATGTACAAGGGAAGTACTTGTGCACGTGTAGCAAAAGTCACACACAAGAATAGTTTTTGTAATAGTCTCAAATTCTAGCTAATATACATCACAGGATAAACTGGGATGTATTTATACCTTGGTATACCATATAGTTTGGAATGTGAATGACCTCAGCTACTGACATCAACATGGATCAATGTCAGAAACATAATCTTGAGCAGAAGAATTAAGTCATTAAAAAATGCTGTAGTATTATTCCACTTAAGTTTAAAACTGGAAAAATGGAAAAAATTATATTTAAAAAGTGTAAAAAAAAAGGGAATGATTAATACAAAATTCAAGCTGGTGCTTATGTCTGAGGGAAAGATGATGGGAAGTAAGAGGATACAATAGGGAAAATAAACATAGTATAAAATGTTTTATTGTATTATTCTTCTTTAATATGCATATATGTTTATATTCAACCATTTAAAAGTGGAAAGAGAGTTTTCTAACCACTCCTAAAATGGGAAAATATGGAGCATTAAAAAAAAAAATCTAGGTTAAGTTCCCTCAGGGCATAATTATTGAGTTATTCAAATATATGAATGGTACTTCTACCACTGCCAGGAAAACAAAAGGAATCCTGTCTCAGATTTGCTGCACACTGCAAATATAGACATTCCAGATTGAACTAATCAGTTCTTAAATTTTCAAGCCTACCAGCTGGGCAGGCTTCTCATTTGGGATTGTTTTTGATGTTGCATTTTCTTTTATGGAGAATATGTTTGTATTGAATTTAGCAATGTCATTACACAGTTAAATTACCCGAGAACAAAACCAGGGAACTGTGTTTTACAGTGTGTTCACCAATATTTTCATTTGTGGGATTTAATATTAGCTCTTTCAGATAGTCTTATTAAATCAGAAGAGGAAGTATCCATAAAGATTTAATAAGAATGCAGAAAGAGAATTCAAAATAATAACCCACCTTAATAATTTTAGCTTCATTACTAATTTATAGTATTTGCATGATTTGAGATTATTTTTCAGAATATTAATTTGATTTTAAATTGCCTTCTAGCTTGGTGCTATGGGAACATTTCCAAGCTTATTGAGATAATCTTTTATTATAAAACTGCTGGCATGTTGTAGTAGAGTTGATATGTGACAGCTTAGTGTTTACCTCAAATTATGTAAGTTTTTAGGTGATTTAAATTACAAGTTATTAAAATTGCAATAATTGACCAAAATGCAAACCAAGTTTTGAAAAGTAAATTGATAATTTGTATATGGTTTTATGAACCTTTGAGGCATCCTGTAATGATGGGAAATAGGCGCCAAAATTGTCATATACAGTTGCTTGAAAATGATTGAGTAATGCTCTTGACTAATTGTAAAACTGCCTGATTTTTTTAAATTTTGAAAATAACCGGAGAAGGTAGCGTTTTGTTTTTTCAGTCTATAAATACTCAAGCAAATTATTGCTCAGTAAGTACTCTAATGAAACTCAGAGGCTACTGCTACACTATATAAATCATCTATAAATATGGTCTATCTATATATACAATAAATTCTGAAAAATCAGTTCATGTTGACTTTAATTAGGACTGCTTTTAGAAAGAGTGATTAGAAATTTTTCACCCTGGGTCACTATGATATTTCTTCTGCTGGCTGAAAATATGGAAGAACAGCATTATGACTATTTCCTTTTTATTCTTCCCAAGGGAGAATCTGATTTTCTTTCCCCACAACCCGCCGAGACACAGGGTCTTGCTCTGTTGTCCAGGCTGGAGTGCAGTGGCACCATCACAGCTTACTACAGCCTCAACCTCCTGTGCTCAAGGGATCCTCCCCACTCAGTCTCTGGAGTAGCTGGGACCACAAACATGTGGAACCACACCTGACTAAAAAAAAAAAATTTAGTAGAGACGGGGGGTCTCCCTATGTTGCCCAGGCTGGTCATGAACTCCTGATCTCAAGCAATCCTCCTGCCTCGGCTTCCCAAAATGTTGGGATTACAGGCATGAGTCAAGTTACCATGCCAGGCCTGAATTTTTAAATTTTAAACAGTAGACAATTGAAAAGTAAAATTATATTTCTATTCTCTCTTTCTTGTTTGCACTAGCTATATTGTGAATTCACTAGAAAAATGTATTACTTTACACTGTTCTCTGATCTTGTGAACCTAAAGGTATTTTGAATAGTTTTTAGTGTTGACTGGCTAACTGATAATAATAGTTTAACCACACTTTGATTAAAATAACCAAATATTTATTACTGCCTATGATTTATTCTTTCTTTAAAAAACACTGTTGATAGGGAAAGGGAAGTTGAGTCAAGGATTAACTAGAGAATGTGCCTAGAGCATATTAGAAAAACAAAGAGCATTTTCACAATTTAAGGCTTTTGAAGAATATTGAGTATGTCCAAATGTCTTTTAATTCTGTACTTAGTTTAAAAACTAGTTTAAAAAC